ATATATATGTCCTTGACCTCCTTTCTTCTTTGAGAAGAAGAGAAAAATGAGGCCCATTGACCCATTTTCCCTCCATGCTGGGTTGAGAGGACTGAAGAGGACTTCAGGTCCTTCAAGCAGCCGAGGCCACCCTCTGGGTGACATCCACGGACCCCTTTGGAAGGGCCTTTTTTTAAAAAAAAATAAATAAATGTATTTAGTACAGGTTCTACAGGGTCTCACTACACAGATCCGACTCATAGTGATCCTCCTGTTTTCAGCCTCCCAAGCGCTGGGATTACAGGCACGCACCACTATGCACAGTCCTGGAAGCTCCACCATGCTGACTCATCACAAAAGCTCCCAGGGACCCTTATTGGCCCCCAAGAACTGGGAGAAGGATCCTCTCTCTCTCTCTCTCTCTCTCTCTCTCTCTCTCTCTCTCTCTCTCTCCAGAACTGGGCAAATTAAGGCTCCAAAGTTCAGAAGCAGGGGCAGAACCAGGGTACAGCGCTCCACGATGGGCCATCACTCCAAGTCCTCTGAGGAGTCAGGGCTCAAGTGGCCCAGAAGGTTCTCTCACTGGGAAAACCTGGACCATGGGTGGAAAAGCTAGCCCCATAGTCTTCTTCTTGCCTGACCATGACCCAGGAAACCTTAATTCTTTTAAAGAAAACCATTGGAGAAGTCCTAAGCGGTCAAGGAGACTTAGGGGATCTTCTCGGGCCTGAGTTTGGCATCTTTAATTACCAGGTCTGGGTGTGAAGGTCACTTGGCATGGTCTTCAGCCTGTGGTTCTCGCAAGGCCTGTCTGGTTCTCCGTCCCTGCTCTCGTGGCTGTTTGCCCCCACCCCTTCCTGGATGGACTGAGGAGTGGATGATGCTAACCCCCGAGGCTCAGGGCTTCACAGAAGGGCCTCGACGTGCCTCTAGAGGGACTTGCTAAGGTCACTTGGGAACAAGGCTGGGATTTATGTTTCCTTTTAGCTTGGACTATGAAGAGAGAGGGCATTGTCCTCTTTCTGAAAACAGCTTTTCCTGAGACCGCAAGTGGTTAAAGCAAGGTCCGGAGGAGCTAGGGGACGTGATGGCTCGTACCCGCCGCGCTGGGGCCCTGGGAGCCCCTGCGCTGTCGAGTGTAGATTATGTGTCGCAGTATGTGTCCATAAGTTGAAGGCCTGATCACCTCGGGGCTCCGAGTACTCCAGTGTTCCCTCGGAGAATGTGGAGTCCTGCGCACCTGGTCCACGCGCAGAGGGCGCTGGAGCCCGGCTCGCACTGAGCCCCCGAGCGCCTCTGCTACCCTACGGGCCGCGCCTCCACACCTAGGCGGACCGGGAAGGGGTACTCCGGCCGCCCGCCGGGAGCCACAAGGGCCGGAGACCTCGGCCGCGGAGGAAGAGGTTCTGCCGGGTAGAGCCCGAGGGGGCGGACTCGGGCCCGGGGCGGGGCAGGGGCGGGCTCGGGGGCGGGGTCCCAGGGGGTGGGGACTAGGCTGGCAGGAGACCTGGCGGAGCCGGGGGTTGGGGGCTAGTTAGTGCCAGGCTACGGGCCCCGTGGGTTTATTATAAGGCGGAGCTCGGCGGGAGAGGTGCGGCCAGAGCAGAGCCGAGCAGAGGAAGCACGGTCGGGCCGGACTCCAGCCGGCGCCCCGTAGCCTTCGCCACACAGAAGCGCAAAGCCGGCCGGAGCCCCGCGAGCCCCGCCGTCCGGCAGCATGAGGCGCGCGGCTCTGTGGCTCTGGGTCTGCGCGCTGGCGCTGCGCCTGCAGCCGGCCCTCGCGGTGAGTGCGCCTGGCCGAGCCCGGCCGAGAAAGCCGCGTTCCCAGCCCGGCGGCCGCGGCACGTGGAGGGGGAGGGGAGCAGGGCTCTTCCCGCGCTGCCCCGCGGGCCAGACCGAGGGCCCCGGAGCCAGGCGCCCGCCCCTGTTGGGTCCCGCCGTTCGGTGCCGGGAGTCGATGGAAAACATCTCCACATGGCTCGACCCACCGGCCCCGGGAGGCGCCCGGCATCCCGCGCTCCCGTCCCGCTCGCTCGGGGTACCACGGCGGCCTGGCCTCTCGAGTGACCCCGAGGCCACGACCCTCTCCCCCTCCCCCGTCGCAGACTCCAATTCGGACCTGACCGCTGCGCGCGCCAAGCCCGTGCCCGCCTTCGCGCCCAGGCAAGTTCGGGCGCCTCGGGCAGAGCGGGCGCGGCGGCCACGCAAGCCAGTCCCGGGCAGCGTGGGGCACACGGCACCCCTGGGCTTCCGCCGGCGAGCCGGGCCGAGCTGGCAGCGGGAGGTTCCGGGAAGTTGGTGAGCGAGCGTAGAGATCGGAGGAGCCTAACTGCCGGGCTGCTGAAGTCGTGTTGTGCCGCTGGGGAAGGCGCGTCCCCGGCCCGGAGAGGCGCGGGCGCCTTCACGCGCGTGGATCTCGGGACGCGCCCTCCCGGCTGGCTTTGTCCATCGCCGGCCGGGTAGAGCTCGGGCGAGGAGCCCGCGGTGGGGAGCGGTATCCACCTTGGCGGGGGTTGGCCTCCTCCGCGCAAGGACGTGGCCCACAAAGAGCCTGCGGCAGTCCCCAGAAAGTGGCTCTCCCGCCCCAGACGCGGTCCGCTAGCCCGCCTTCCCGATGGGGGCGCTTTGTTCTCGGCCCCTGTAACCCTTTCCTGGGATCCGCCCCGCCGCGCCCGCCCGCCCCCGCTGGGTCCTGGGCGGCCACCAGGTGTCAGCGCCGGCTACTAGGTGTTCTGCCCCAGCCCCTGAATGGGGTGCGGGCCCCGGGGGTCCTGAAGGCGAGGCGCTCTGGCCACCCCTGGGAGGTGGAGGGAGGTGCGGAGCGGGGGCTTCCCTCCCGGAAGTGGCGGTCTCCCCCTCCACATCTGGACCGCCTGGCTCCCTGGCTGTGGCAGGGGGAGACGCGTGGGTCCTGCGCTTCTGACCGGGCGCCCGAGCACCACTGCCCTCTGCGAGTGTTTCCGTTGGCCGTGGAAGCTGGCAGTTTCTGAGAGCTCTGGGAGCTGGCTCCAAGTACAGGCGGGCACTGGCGCACCCTAGGTGACTTCTCAAATTCCAGTAGGGGTCCCGCCTTACCCACGAGTCTGGAGGAACTGAGAGGGCTGCGGTTTGTGCGCTGTCTTCAGTTCACTCCCGGCTTTCAGGTCTAAGATGTAGCCCTGGAGGGTTGTGGTTTCCCTGGGACTCGGATTACGCCTGCCATCCTGGTTCCCATTCTGGAGGACAGAGGGAGCTTCCTGCGTGCCTGCCTGCCTGGCCCGTCTGGCATTACCTCCTGCTCCACTCTCCAGGCCCAAGATGAGGCTGCCTTGGGCCTCCGGAGGTGAGGGACAGCACCTGCTTCCAGCCTCAGTCAGGAGTGGTGCTGGCTGTCCTCCGCCGGCCTTGGGACCCTGGGGGCTGTCGATGAAAGCCAGGCAACTGGCAACAGCCTTTCTGAGTTTGTGTTTCCTGGGGTTTTCTGTGTGCTGGGCAGGAGCAGACGCTGCAGGAGAACACACTGTTTCTGACCCAGAAACTTGGACACCATAGGCAGACCCAAGCCTGAGGCTGCCTCCATGGGGAAAGGAGGGAGGGAGAGTCCAGAGCTGGGAAGGCTTTCTGGATTTAGTGCTGCTGAGCCCCAGACATTGCCCAAGCTCAGGGAATGACTCCAACATGGAGCTTAGGTGTTCTTTTTGCTCTACTTTATAAAGTTTTGTTTGTCTTTTTCTCAGCCTTTGCCCCCTTGCTTTTATAACGAATGTCTGCATTTGGTTAAAAGTGGGGACATGACATGGCAGCAAGTACCTTCCCAGGGGCCCCTTCCTCGCTCCCAAGAGAAGTAGGACACTAAGACTTGCTGGATGCAGGTGGAGGTATACCCACATTGCAGAGACCCAGTCCTCAGTAGGCTGATTTTGGCTCCTGTGGGAATCGGGTCACAATCCTCCTGGGACCATCAAAGTAAGGAGTGCCTGCTGGGTGCCTGCCTCTGAATGGATCAGGGAGACTGCTGGGGCAGGAGCTTTCTCAAATCTGCTCCCTAGAGACTGAAACAGGTTTTTCTAAAAAAGTCTCTGTACGTTGTATCCCGTGGCCTTTTGTTTCCACCAAGTCGGAAAAATGGCCTGTCCTGGAATTTGCTGTTTTTTCTCTTCTCCTGCCTGAAAGACCTAAAATCCCTTCTCCCTTAATTATGCAGACTAGTAGAGACGTTTCCCTCAGCCTCGCCTGCCCAGCTCAGGCTTCCAGAGGTGAGGTCACCGCTGGCTCTGGCTCCCTAGAGGTGGAGGGTGTGAGTCTCTACCTGTGGCTCTTCGTGGCTTGTAGTGGAACCTCATGAATGCACCTTGGCAGAGAGGCCTTGAAAAGAGAGGGCCTGGATGAAGGAGCTTGATTTTTTGCAGTGTTTTATAGAAAGATCCTTTCTGTTGCAGGAAAGTTTTAGATTCCTGAAATCCCTTAAGAATGAGGTGTTCTTGGTATTGAGGCTTTTCCTTCAAGTTAAGAATCTGTAGTAACTTGCAAAGTATTCTTACTGTGCGCAGGACTCTGAGATACTTATTTCCCTTCCTTTATCAACAACAACAAAGTGATAGGCATAGTTTAATCTCTGGATGCTGAGGCTGTGAGCCCTGTGCCCCACGGCCCCTGCTGCTCCATTGTGAGTTGTGATCTGCTCTTTCCTTTCCTACCTGTCTGATTTCCAGAAGTGATATTTGTGTGCCCAAGGTAGCAGCTTTTCTGTCTAGTTCCAGTTGCTTACTTTTCTCCAGCAATACTGAGACCCAGTACTGAGATCCTAAACAACTTGATTCAAGTTATTTCTAAAACAAGAACTATAGGCTGAGTCCCGTGCTTGCCCAATGAGTGGCCTTGTGATTTGAGGACAGTCTTTCGTGGGCCTCACCTTGAATCTCTATGAGGTACAGAGGCAAAGTAGACAAATGATTTGCTGTTGTCCTGTCCCCTGTGCTCACCCTGGACTGAGAGTAACAAAGAGATGCCAGCTGAGTGAGGCACATAGGAGCTCCCTTCAGGGACAGGCTATGCAAGGTCCTGGGGGAAGCCACTGGAGAAAGCCTGTTTCTACTGCCTCAGTCAGGTCTTCTGCAGGTCCAGGGCCAGCCCTAGGAAGCCTGGCCTGCCTAGCCTACCCTGCATCCTGATGAGCGAGGTCCCCCATTTGTAACCCTTGACCCTCTCTTTGGTCTTGTCTCAGTCTCCTAAACCATGTTTTGTTTGAGTTTTAGTTCACATTTCTTTTTCTTTTCTTTTCTTTTTTTTTTTTTTTTTTTTTTTTTTTGGCGGAATCGGGATTGAACTCAGGCCCTTGTGCTTGCCAGGCAAGTGCTTATTTCACTAAGCTATCTCCCCAGCCCTTTAGTTCACATTTCTGTGTGATCTGCACCCGCACCTTTGGCAGACCGAAATGCTTTGCATCAGTAGAACCCGAGGATGGAGTTGCAACTCTGCCACTAGTTTACTGCCTAACCTGTAGTGAGTCACCTTAGTTCCAAGTCTGTTGTCCTCATCTTCCAAACGAACAGCATAATACCTGTTCTCCCTGCTCTGTTCTGTCATTTGCCTATTCATTTCGTAATGGATGTGTGAAAGTGCTTTGTGATGAAAGTACCAAGGAAAGTTAGCTGTTGATACAATTAAGATTAGCCTTTATTGAGTGCCTGTTATCGCATGCTGGGTTCTTTTCCTACATTCTTGTTTAATGTTTCCCTGAAACTTTTGTGATACACATCATTGCCCTGTTACTTAGGCTGGGGAAGCAAAAGCCTACAGAGCCCAAGGAGCAGCAGCAGCAGAACCAAGACTCAGGGCGGTGTGCGCGTGCCTGTGTGTGATGTGTTGCCTGCACTGGGAAGCCAGCACCTGGGGGCTGGTTGTGTCCTCTGAGGCCACGGGGCTATTAAGCTGGGCAGAGCTAGCACAGTGCCTTCAAGCAGATCCTAAGCATTGGGCAATGCCCTAGACATCAGGTAGATCTCCTCAGGAGACAGCGGGGTCCAGTAGAGCAGGGAGTCTGTCTGGGGCCTCCCACTGCCCTGGCTGGTGCCAAGTGGCTATTGGGATGGTGCCCTTATGTCAGCACCCAGGACACACCATCTTCTATTCACAGGCACTGGGAGGCATGTGTGGGCTCAGGAGACCCCTGTGTAAGCCTGGGAGGTAGACATCATGGCACGTGTGGGGTGATGGAACCAGGATTCCTGGCCACCACCTGCACCTCCTGCTTCCTGCAGGCCAGGCCCCATAACAGGGGCAGCCAGTAGAACTGGTCATTAGGTGATTACCTAGACCCAGAGAAAACTGATTTTGGATTGCTCCCCAATCAGTTTTAGAATTTTAGGTTAGAAGTTGCTCTGCCTCAGTCTATCTAGAAGAAAGAATGGGATCAAAGTAGGCGGGGGTCTGTGGAAAGAGAGCTTTTTTTGGTTTGTGTTTTGGTGTTTTGAGATAAGATCATGATATATATAGTTCAGGCTGGTCTTAAACTCACTATGGCCACGGCTGGCCTCAAACTTATAGTGAACCTCCTGCCTCAGTCTTCTGAGTACTGGGATTGCAGGTGTGTGCCGCCATGCACAGCGGAGCAAGGCTTTCAGTGCCAGCATCCTGTTCACCAGGAGAGGCTGGACTGCTGGGGTGGATTTTGGAACCTTTCACTGAGTGACATGAGTGTCCTATAACAGGAAGGGAGGTTAGGGACACAGGCCCCTGAGACAAAGTTACAGTGGGGAGACCCTGCAATTTCCAGCTCCAGGTGGGGCCATCGGAAGGCCCTCC